ATAAAAAATAATCTCTCACCTGAAGAAATAAATGGAATAGCATATGACTTGGCTTCTTCTGCTCCCACTACTGTTGTAGGAAATTCTCGTCTTAATTTATTACGGAAAAAATTGCATAGCTTAGGAGCTGATTATCTCATCATTGAGGCAACGAAAATACTCTTTATTACTAAAGAAGCAAATCAGATTTAAGCAAGAAAGCGTATACTTCGTGAAATTAATAGTTATGTTGTCCTGAGTTCTTTTATCTGGAAAAGGTTCAGGAAAGACTTAGCGAATGTGATACTACCAAGCCTCCTTCAATGCAAAATCTAATAGATGTAATGATAATGCTATGTATGCGATTGGCAGATGTGAAAAATCTTCATATCAACTGATACAAACCAAGTTGCAAGTCATAGTATAATCCTGACTATTCTTGGTACTGTATTGGTTATGCAAAAAATAAAGGTGAGATAGAAGAACCTCGACCATTCCTTTCAATGGAAAAAAATCCAATACGAGCAAGAGAATTACTTATCTAGATTCAGAGATTAATACCGGATAAATTCCTCTTCTTGTTAAAAGATAAGAATGGAAATACTAATGTTATACTACTTAATCAATTCTTAAGTCACCATAGAATTACCTCATTTATATTAAAAAAAATAGGGGCTGATCACGCTTCCAGAGTACATGGAGGTAGAAATGATTCCCACCGTCAATATTTACGACAATTGGCATGTAGGCATAAAATAGGTCATGCTTTATCAGTTGAACATTATGGTGTAATGAATGACAGACCAAATACCCCAGCACCTAAACAAGAAAATAGTGAGGTCGAGAATATCATTGACCTATATAATTACTAATTGCTTTTATCCCATTCAGAGTTGGACCCAGACTCAGATGAGGATGAAGATTCAGATGAGGACTCAGATGCGGTATCGTTAAAAATTGTTTTTTTTCTTTTAGCCTCAGATAGTGTACAATTTTTTTGAGAAATATCTGGGTTTGCTATCGAGTTTATAATATCTTGCTGAATCTCAGGTTTTACTATTTTTAATAATTGACAGAAAGAGATCTGAATTTTTTTATTTGACACTTGTTTAATAATGCGAGATATTACACTATTACCATTTCGAGATTTATGATTATTTTCTAATGTAGCTTTATTCATTGTTAATATCGTATCGTAATATGTACCTTGGTACTAGCTTTGCTATTATTTATTATATTAATACATAATAAAATTCAAAATAAATTATAATTATTTTTTGGTTATAATATACATCATTAAACATATTTAACATGTTCATCAATACACTCGTAGAA